TTCTAGAATCTCTGGATTATTAATGTCAAAACATTTTTAGAGAGTATATATAGTTTCCAATCTCATTCTTGTTCTTTTTTAAAATGTGCAGATGAAATGTTCAAATTGTCTCTTTTTTTTTCTTAATGATCGAGATCGAATTTTCCAATTTGTGTACAATCTACAGTGGATAAAGAATAAATGTATCAGACTGAAAACTGAATTTTTATTTCGATTAGTAACATGCTAAACACAATAGATAAGACTATAGTCATCACAAACACAATAGATAAGACTATAGTAATCACTATTTAAGTGTTGGACATGGACCCAAGTCCACTGACGATCAGCTCGGTTTATCAGCATTAAAGGAGCTCAACTCAGGATATGATCATGGTTAGATTTAAACTGATGATACTCTCTAGTATTTTGCTATAAATAGAAGTCCTCACATCACTTTTCAAAGACATCTGAATATTCTTGGGACCAGAGGATAAAGGGCAAAACGTACATTTTATTCTCCGGATCAGAGAAGGACTTCCGGATAACTACTGTTGCTGGAAAGTACAAACCGTTTTACGACCTCTTGTTCTATAGTGGGTCGGGATCTGTCCGACCTGCTACTATTCTCACGCTGTATTTGTAACTCATTTACCCCGACTTCATATTTCAATATACGAGAAATCCCGACCTCTATTCATCTATAAATTCATTAGACGACATACTTCTTGGTTGAACAATTGGCGCGCTAAGTAGGGGACTTGGAGATTTTTCTTACGCAGGAAACATGAATTCGGACGAAGCAACCGACCAACAATCTACCGAGGTTGTCCCACTGGTAGTCGCGGAGCCGACCTAGACATCTCCGACAGAACAGAACGTCGCTACTACTCCTAGCACGGCTACCGAGAAAACCACACCTGACCAAGGACACTCGGAAACCCTGATCGCCAACCCACAGGTGGACTTCTCGTCCATGTTGGGTATTCTGATAAGCCTTTTCGATCGACACGACGAGTTTTCTCGACAAATAAATTCTCGACTCGACGCGCTGGCATATGCTCAAACCGACCTGCAAGGACATATGAGTGATGCTAGGCCGATCCGTGAATCCCCGCAACCACGAATCAGCTCGGCCCCTTTTCTGACTGACGGGCACAGGCGACCTGCGACACAACACCGCGTAATAAACCTCAACACACCTACGCCAACACCCATCAGCTCGCAATTGGAGCGGCCGATCCCTTCTCAAGGAATG